TCTCTCTCTCTCACACACACACACACACACACACACACACTCACACTCACAGTGGCACAATGCAGGAATCTGGCCAGGAATGGAAAGTCTTTGGTTTTAGAAGACCTTTTTGTTTAACAAAATATCCATGCTAGATCTCAAACGTAAATCAATATCACTAAACGGTTTGAAAGGGGCCAGGGTGGTGTAGTGGTTGCACGTTGCACTACTAACCACAAGGTCAGTCGTTCCAAACCACTCCTCCAGAGAAAGATGAGGCTTAGGATTTGCCCTCTCTCACAGGGTCGGAATCAGCTCCATTACAGTATGTTTGTATGTTTCTTTTGGTTTTAAACTAGGCTAGTTCAACCATTCTGGTTATATCTAAATAACCAAAACACATGCACACACACACACACACAATTACAATCTCCGTTAAAATAATATGCTGAAATACAATGATTTCATCGTTTTGCAACTTGAAAAATACAGAAACTGAAGAAGTACTAGAAATATCGCAAAGTGAAAGCTACCGGAAGTTATTCAAGTTTCTGATAGTCACAAAATATTGTGAATATTTTGGCAAGTCTGTGTTTGTTTGTAAATAAATCCAAAACCCTAAACCCACTGCCTGGGGGAATTCCAACTCAGAGTGACACTATAGGAAGGAGTGCAACTGCCCCAAAGGGTTTCTGAGCCTGTACATTTTTACAGAACAGGTGGGGCAGACTGTGTCCTTTCTCCTGTGGGCTCCGAGGATTTTCCCAGTTAGTAGCCAAACACAACCCACAGGACTACCACGAGTCTTTGATTTAAAAGGGACAGCATAATTTTCAATGTATTCATCACAGGTGTAGACTCAAGACACTCTGATAGACCAAAGTGGGGTTAATTATTTCCATATTCTATATGCATATGCTTTGCTAATTACAAAGCAATCAAGATGCAACTTTCACACACCTTGTTCATGCATTTTTTAATAAAAATACCTAATAAAAGATTGTTTGATGGGCTTCTTTCACTTAGCAATATATTTCAAATGTCTTTATATCAACAAATATTTTTCAGCAACATGGCTCTTAATAGGAGGGCAAAGCTTTTTCTCAGAAGAGCCACAGCAGGCACAGCTGTGTTGTTGGGCTCTTTGTGGTATTTCCTGCCATTCTTGCAACCAGCACCCTTCCATGTCTGAGTAAAACATTTTTCATGGACCCCTTAAGGGCCACAATGGCTGAGTGACCGTGTCCTTACCACTCCACAATTGCCAGGCATAATACTGTCCACCCCCAAGAGAGACCATTGTCATGTGGAAGCTGAGCTGGGATGACTGGATTCCCCAGTGTGTTCTGTGTGGTCATCCCCACTTTTGGTAGTGATGTAGTCAGCTCCTCTGCTGGCCACGTTGTGCTTCTGTACCTGGAAGGCAGAACATCATCGATACCCTGGGTTTCAGCCACAATCGCTGCTGGTTCTGTGCCGCCATGGGCCCATCCTCAAGATCTGGGACTCTGGGATGTGGAGCACAAAATCATCAGAGATGAACTGAAGCAAGAAGTCCTGGTGCTCCTGTCTAGCCCGGCCTGCTGATGGCCAAGCTCTGTTGCCAGGTAAAC